GCCCCCTCTCTGGCAGTGTTCAAGGCCAGGTTGGACAGGGCCCTGAGCAGCCTGGTCTGGTTGAAGATGTCCCTGCTCACTGCAGGGGGGTTGGGCTAGATGACCTCTAAATTAGATCCCTTCCAACCCAGAGCAGTCTGTGATTCTGTGAAAGGAGTTCATCCCATACGTGCCCCAAAACTGTATTCCAAAAGGAATTTGTGCACCTCAGATCTGTTCATCTGATTCAGGCAGGCTGTGTTTTGCAGCATTGGGAAAACTTGGCATTGCATCTACAGAATCCTCTGCTCAGATCCAGCCTCTTTCACAGCCAGATTTTCTTGATGATTTTTTTTATAGCACTGTTTGAGCCGTCCCATAGATGGAACCAGTAGGCCTCAGTTTTTGATGTTTTCTGGACTCAGTGTGGTTCTTCCCATAAGTACTGTCTGTGTTCTGAGTACCAAAAGAAAAGAAAAAAAGTTATCCCGAGAGGCCTGTTTCACCCTGAAGTTGGAGCAAATATGTGCCGAAAGATACTACGGTGAGAAAAGTAAAGGTGTTGGTATTTAACTTTAAAGTTATTTTACGGCATTAGAAGTCTGTGGAAGATCAACACTTAATTTTATCTGTTCTGAGTTGCTTTTAAAAGTTTCAAATTTTTTCTCAAGTCTCATGTGTAAAGATAGCTGCTGAAGAAGTAAAAGAAATGTCAGTCTCTACTAGTATATGAGGACTCCCTTCTGTCCCAGGCAGAGACTGTGGGATGTAGCTGCTCCACAGTTCAAAAAGTTCGTATTTCATCATACTTGGGAAGAAAAGTAACTGCTCCCTGCTTGCACAGCCATATGTGCATGAAAATGCCCTTAATATGTTGCATACTTTCTCAATGTCCTGTTCTTCTCTATATCCTTAGTAGGTATACAGAGTGAAGGAAAGGTTTCTCAAACAACATAGAATGCTATTTACCAGGTAGCCTGTGAGCTATTTTCTTTGGTAATGGGAAATCATGTTAGAAAGTAATTGGTACTGATGCAGATGTTGCAGAGAGGTCACGAGGAGAAAACTGGAGCAGGGTTAGTTAATTCTGTAGCGTCTCCTCAAACTGTCATGCCATTAGAAATACTAAAATCTGTTGGTAAACCTGTCACTTGGCATTTTAAAGCATTATTTCTGTTAGGAAATAGGCTGCACATTCATGAGCTTTTGTGTAAAGCAAACAGAAGTTTGTTAGTGTTGGTGCTTACAAAACCTGCTGGGAATGTTGGTGTCCATACAAAGGTCGGAGGAAGCTGCGAAAGAGCAAGCAAAACATTTAATGGTGTACACAGCAAATGCCTTTAGCACCAAGTGCTGCTGCCTGGCTTCTGCCTCTGCAGCATCTGTTCCCCAAGCACCGCTTTTTTTTTTTTGGTTGATCAGCTGCCCGGGGATAGAGGTCAGTGGGAGATGGGAGCAAATGTTTTAAAAAAACAGAACAAACCATCAAACACCAAAACCTGTGACCGGGGGATTAATTGACTTTAAAAAGCAAATTAACAAACTCCCTTCTTTTCTGCCTTGAGGTGCAGCTGACAAAGTAGCGGGCGCTACAAGACTAGAGACCTGGTGCTTGAAGGAATGGAACCTGATTAATAGCACAGAACTGGTTTAACATTCACATAAAACTAAACTGCCTGCAACTGCAAGCCAGGCCTTGTTTGCAGTTCCCATAGTTCTGCTGTATTGTGTTGTCAGAGTAGATGGGCTTAGGGACTTTCGAGTTTACCAAGGTTTTCATGACATGAAATGCCTTAAGCTGGGAGTTTAACAGCAGAGCTGCTAATCTTGGTCCTTTTTCTGGCAAATATCTGAGTTGTGGAAACAGCAAACAATTCAAAGGCATTTGGTTCCAGAAAGATCAGATGTCACAGTTAAGGGGCTTCTGTCTACCTCTTTGGTCACCCTACTTTATACTGGTCTTGGACTGGAACTGATGAAATGGGAATTGGGCTTGTGCTCCATCATGCCTCCTTATGGGGATTTTGAGGTGTTGCAAGGAAACTTGGGGACCTGAAGTGCACGCTTTGGGTGGTTGTTGTGTTGAGGCCCACTCCTACTTTAAGGCAGCTCCTCTTCCACTTGCTGAGCTGGGTAATCTGTTCAATCAAAAACACAGGGCAGTGTGGCTTTGTTTTCTTTGACTCATTTCTCTGTACTGTGTGAGTAGCTGTGTTTGGTGTTCAGTTGTGGCCACTCTCCAGAAACTCTTGAGGAACTGGTAGGGGCGAGTGGCAAGAATTAACTTAGTGCTAGCTTGTAGCTTGGTCTTTGGAATCTGTATGCCTGTTAATGCCTCTTTTGGGCAACTATGTTTTGTAGAAACTGTAAAAAAAAAAAAAAATGGAGTTGTAGTTGCAGGGCAGTTTAAAAGAATTCTTTCGGACTATCTAGGGTCTAGAGAAAACATTTCAAAAACATTGATTCCGAATTTCTGCTAGGAGCTCCAGCTCTAGGGAGAACGTTGTGAAGTGGAATAGCTACAGCTGCAGGACAGATAAAACATATCTCTATTAGTACACCAATCACGCTAGAATGCCAAATTGATCAAGAAAATTAAGTTCATTTGTTGATTAGCACTTTATAGTCAATCTCTGCTTTGGTGAGAATAATGGAGAGGAGAGATTTCTTTAAAAATGCAGCTAATAAATAATGATACAAACTCAATCTGAAGCTTGTACTGCAAAACTTCTACCAATACTGGAGTCAGTATATGTGTAGTTCTTAAATGTTTGGAACACTTTCTTGTACTATCTATACGTGTTCACCAGTATTTTGAAGTGGAGTGAGAATGGATAAGAAAGATAGTTTCCATTATCAAAACCAATGAGATACCATAAGAGAAGTGTTACTTAGAAATGGAGAAGAAAATCAATCTGTTCACTGTTGTGACCCCCACCTGAGGTTGGATATACCTGTGCAGCTTTCAGTATCTAAGGTGAAGGATAAGTTTGAGCAATGGCATAAATGGATTTTGTAAGGTTTGTTGTGCGAAGTGTCACAAGTATCACCTGGAGATGGTTGGAGGTAAGTGAAACATCATCTTGAGGAAATCTTGTGTGGATTTGTTGGTCTAAGGAAGACTCAAAGATGGCTTGGAACAAGCTTGAAGGAGAAGTTTTGTCTGAAGATAATTTTTATGATAATGCTGCAGTTGTCCTGTCTGCCTAACAGAAGAAGAAGGAGAGACAGAGAAAACCTTTGTCTTACTGTCAGGAGTGGGCTCTTCTAATTTTTAGCGAGGAAAATCACTTTGATGGAAGGATAAAGAAATTCTTTTGTTTCCATGATGCAGAAAATCAGACACCTGTTAATTCACTCTGACTGTGAAGATGTGGGGATTTTAAAATCTTCTTTTAAAGATTTAGTTTCTATAAAGCTTACTTTTTTCTACTTACCAGTACATTCCCTGTTTGAAGGGTATCTGGTAGAAATTTACTTTTATCTTGATCTGCTGGCATGGAATAAATACTGCTGCTTTCCCTTTCTTGAGAACTAGACATAATCTTTCAAAACAACATGAAGGTGTAGCTAATGAAAAGCTGCGCTCTTGGAAAACTTAGAACTCTTGTTTTGAAGGTAAAAAGTTTGAGACTGTTTTCTGCCTGTCACTCAGTTTTCAGTTACGCCATGATACAGCACTGAGGCAGTCAATGTCCCTTGAGTTACTGGACAAACATGAAATAAGAGTGGAGAAAAGTCAATGACGACATTATAAATTGAAGATGTGGTGACAGGTGTTTCTTCTTTTAGTGCCGGACAGGTATGTTACTGGTAGTCCAGTACCATGCTTATTTTTTTATCTCTTCTACAAGGAGCCTTAGTTAAAAAAGTATTTTACTAAGACGACAATTGGGAAGTTGAGAACAAAGGAATGAGACAAAACACACCATGCTGCCATGCAAATACAGCTACTCGAGCTATTTTGTCTCTTGACTGAAGACTTCATGGGAAGCAGCGGAGGAAGATAGCTCTGCATCTACAGTATGTGATTTATTTGAAGTTATGAAAGGTACTGGTCTGTGCTGATGTATTCCAGTACACTTACTGTAAGAGATCATCTGCTTGACTGAAAGCTGCAAATTGTAATTTGGAGAGCATAGATGGAACAACATGCTGTTGCTAAGCTACCAGAATTTTTATGACCTGCTGTTTATTTACTTCACAAAACTAGAGCAAATGAGACTGTATTTTAAGGGTCTCTGTTTCAAAACCCTCTATGGAATTTGGTGGGAATCTGGTGATCTAGCCTGAAAAGAAGTTTGGTGGCTTTTTGTGTTAGTGTCTTAAGTTTGCACCTTCTTGATGCTTCTCATTATATTTCCTATTCAATTGTGAACAGGAAGGTCTGTGTTTAAAAAAAGCTGTTCTTTTCACATAGTTATTATCATTGCATCCTCTCCTGATTTTTAACAAACCCTTGACTTGGATAAGCCTTGGGGAAAAACGCTTAGTAGTTTTGCAGTTTAAATTGTTGTCTGATGGGTTAACTGTTAAGAAAGTGAATGACATGGAATATTTTCTTTCCCCTGAAGTAGCCAAGATAAGACAGTAAAGTTTCTTGGCTTTCTCTGAAGTTAAATTTTTCTAAGAAAAAGCCCAGTACCAACCCAGATTTTGTAAAGAGTTGAGAGAAGGTAAAAGAGCGGAGAAAGCTGGTGTAATTCCTATAGGCTATATTAGCAATGTGTGTGACATACAAACCTAGTCTGTGAATATCAAATATACTTGCCTTTTTAATTTCTGTGACTTGTGGTAGTGATACGGTTTGATTTTAAAGGATAACATCATAATTCGTTTTCTCTCCTGGCAGCCTCCAAAGGTAAAATGCTTGACAAGGATCTGGCATCCCAACATTACAGAGACGGGAGAGATCTGCCTAAGGTAGTGACAGCTTTCTTCTTTTTTTAACCTTGGAGGTTTTTCTGTGTGATAGTACATTGTTTATAATTTTCATGCCAGTGTCATTTTCAACAGATGCTGCAAGTCAGTGGCACATGACCCTTAGGAACTTAGAAATCTATTGAAAGTATTGTTCTTGCTGTATGTTAGAGACTGTGTAGAGCCTGGCTCTTCAGGTTATGACTTAAGGTTTTGTTCTACTGCAGGTACAAGTGTCATTTTCAACCTAAACAAAACTTAGTTGTTCGTTTTTTCTGCCCTCCGCAGACGGATAGTCCTGAGAGGGCTTAAGGCTTTGCTTGTTTCAATGCCTGAATGTGTTAAGTGCTTGAAAACAATTTATATTTCAAAAAGAGGGGAAGAAGTGTTGCTTAAACTTTGACAGTAACTATTCTATATTTGTCATTTGTTTTTTTTAACATCTAATATCCACTGTAAGACACATGTGCCACTTAAAATAAAACAGAGTTGCAGGAATGTAAGTGGAAATACAAAGCCCAAATGCTTAACTTTGGGTGGTTTTGCTTGATAGTAAATGTTTCCCCTTCAAATCAGTTTCTGAAACTTTGTAATTTCAGTGTTTCATTGTGAGTACCTGATGGTGAAATTGGCCAGAAACCAAACATAATCAGAAGTGAGAAGCATGACTGTCATTTTTCAAATTAATGGGACATAAAAGAAAAAACTAGATGAAGCAGAAGAAATGAAAATAAGCGAGACTGAAAGCTGTTCTGAAAATCCAAAACAGTTGCTACCATGTGTAGCAAATCAGTGCTTAAAAAAAGAAGCGATTTTTTTCCCCTAGATCTAAATATCACTTCAGTGTATTCAAGGTCCTTGTGAAAATCAAGTTTTCGCAGGGTAATCCGTCACACTTCATAGGCAGGTCTGGCTCACCAACTGGTAGCAACTAAAGAGCTGATATCAGTGCTGTTAGGCACAGTGGTCTGCTCCGTGCTTCTGAGACACTCATACCATCATCAAAGGGTGGTAGATGCCAGCCTGGGGAGGCTGTAGGATGTTCCTGGTGCTTGATAATGCCAGGCTGCAGCAGGAGTACAAGCAGCAAGGGCTGGCATCCATACACTTTACCTTACTGTGGGACTGGAGGGTTTAAAAGCAGTAGAAAACGTACTAAATCTTCTGAGATTGCCTAAAAATCTGGTTGTCCGGTTACTAGGAGCTGTATGCTGGTGATGCAGGAGGGCTGTTTTGGCAAATATGTGTTGCTACTTTTAGCAAATTTGCCAGCCTTGTAGTGTTTCTCAGTGCCTCCCAGGACTGTTGCATTCTACACAGCTTAACTTGTCACTTGACAGTAGGGAAATTGATTTAAGGATCATGTTTTTACAGTTTGAAATGCATCAGAGACCTTGTGGATAAGTAGAGAAAGCTTGGATGCTTTGAGTCGAGTAGTGTAAGTAAAGGAACGAGTGAGCGAGCTGTCTGGAACCAGGGAACAAAAAATACTGGACGCCAAATGATGGCTAAGAGTTTAAGCTCTGACTACAGTGCTACATTTTCTGAGGTTAAATGAAGCCTCCTCACATTCTTGAGGATATTGCACTGTTTCTTGTCTTTAGATGGTTTTAATTATGAAAAATGAATGTAGTGTTGGAACATGATAGTTCTACTTCATGAAGTAATTTTTTTGGCATCTGCACTGAAACATCAGCTTTATTTGATTGTCAGGTAGTTTTAACATATCAAACCTTTGAAATGTCTTACCGTTTAGATGGAAAAACTGAAATAGCTTAAATTGCTTTGTGCCTGTTATAGTGGAGAATGCACACTATATATAGTATCTGCAATCAACCTATACAAGAGTCTTTACATTAAAATAGATTCAGTTATTTTTAGAAGCAGAAAAAAGTTCCTTATCAGTATGTTTCCTAACTGGCTTTTAGCTAGCATACCTCACACTATGGTATGTGTTATTTTCATAATCATCCCTGAATTAAAACGTACCAAATGATTAAACTTGTGGACAAGTGTCATAGTTTTGGGCAGGAAAAGTGTCATTTCGTGGTGCCCTGTGGATCGCAGTTACTCTGGACAATAGTAATAAAGGGCCATATTGATTAGGTCTGACCCATACTTGTGGGTGTTGCCTCCGCTGCACAGGTGGATGGAAAACATCAAGATACCTAGAAAGGATATGCTTGCTTGCTACATACACCAGTTGACTACTTTTTAAAATAATGTGTAATGCATGTCATTGACTACTTTTCTTTTCCCCCCCTATTGATGTGATCTCTGCCTGAGGTGTTCTCTTCCTCCTTGACTACATAAGCTTTTAGAATAGTTTAATCACTCAGTAATTTCACTGCTTTTCTGTTACGTGATGGGGTGGTCAGTGTTGTTGGATGTGTCTTTTGGCAATAGGTGTTGTTAATTCAGGTTTGGTCTCTTTAAGAGGCAGTATTAAGGGCTGCTGAATGGAGAAGTGTTTGAAAACTGATTAGGTGTATTGTCCTGTAGAGCTCAGTGCTGCAATTTCTCCAGTTATAAAAGCTGATCAAGTTGATTGCTTGTGTCTGTTCCCCAGTGCTGTTCCCAGTCTCCTCAGCTGTGCCAATGTGGAAATAAAAAGCTCCTTAGAAGGACTTTGTACATCAATTGCCTAACTCATCCAGTCTATAGCATGGCCACCTGAATGGCTGCACTGGCACTTCTGGGTTGAGCAGGGAGGTTTGCAGTGGGAGGTGAGCAAGAGAATAACCCCTGTAAAGTGTCCCTGCCAGCAGGCTTTCTGAAGTGGGTTTACAGCTTTTTTTTTAATTCAAACTTACCTTGAATAATGCTTTCTGTTGGCAAAAGGGAGGTAAAAGTTTTGTTGGAACTAACATTTTATGTTGATAAAAGTATTCATCCAAGATCTTTATAGCAAGTTTTCTTCAGGACTGACCTTCCCATTACACTAAATTTTAGTCTCTTAAGCTGTAAATCATATCTGGAGTTTCAGAATGTTTTAAACATGCTAGAGCCATGCAGTTCCCAGTTCAGTAGATGTTTTTCCAAGATGTCTTTAGGATCCTGTGTATTTAAAAAAAAAAAAATCCTCAAAGTTTTTCTTCATGCAGGAATTACAGAATGAGAAGGTCTTTGTGGAAGCAAAAGCTGAGCAGCTGGCTGGTTACATCGGTGTCTAGTTTGGTTACTGTAGCTTCAAAAATTGTGATTTTGCAGTCTTCTGGTAGGAACTCAGATAGATGGATTTGAAATCATATTCTGGGAGGTCTCCTTAGGTACAAACACCAGATGTTGAGGTGCGCTTATCAGTTCCAGTCTGCCCATGGCTGAGGACACGATCGGCTTTTCTCAGATCCTGCTACAGCTGAAGGCAAAGCAAATGGAAATAGCGTGTGACTGTCCTTCCCCGTCCCTGCGGAAGGTCCTCCCCTGACAAACTCCTGCTGTGCCACAGCACTCCCCCTCCTGTCAGCCCTGCTGCTCCTTCCCCAAGGCATGCCCTCACTCACCAGCTTTAGTAATCTGAAATGCTGCAGAAATTGGCTTACCCCCCTATTTACTTTTGCAAATGCATTCTCAGGCAGCACAAGAGAAGCTTCTGACTGTTTGTTCAATCTGAATAATACTAGATGAGCTTTCTGGCACTCCGGTATGAGACAGCAAAGTCCTGACGATTTTAGAATAATCATTTCAAGTAAACAGGTTTTCCTGCCCATGAAGTGTCCTGAAACCCCAGTAGGTGGCTTCTGGGGTAGCTTGTCAAAGGCAACCTCTTGAAGCATTGAGTGGGTGAGAGAAACTCTGCTGGTTGTGCCATTTGAGAACTTTGTAGTGGGTGAGCTCCTCTATGGCAGCAGGACCCGTGGATGACAGGTCTTTGAACAGAAGCCACACGCAGATGCTTGGGTCATCCACTAAACTAGTTCATGATGTATTTTGTGTATTTCTGCTCATTTAGGTGTTCATTTTGCTGTTTGTGTGTATGATGCTCTGAGAGCAGATCACCATTCAGACCTCCCAGCCTTCTGGCAGCTATATCTGGGTCATCCCGATTGAGAGCACAAGATGCAGTTGCTCTAGACACCCTGCACTGGGAATAGGTTTTGATTAGGGCCTAATGACCATTCCCAATCTATAGTAAGAAAGAGGATGCTACTCTGAAAATAAATTGTATCAGGAAATGAGAAATATGAGGCAAAGATACACTTATTTATCTTCATTGCTTTTCTGCCAGAGCTCTCTGAGGGGTATGAGTGTTTTCTCTCAGGTCCTGGCTGCTGATGTCCACAGCTAGACATATGCTGAGAGAGAGCTTTGAAGTTTTGGGAAGCTAGAAGTGTTTTAACAAGGCTTAGTTGATATGCTGGGGCACTTTGAGCTCTATCAGTGGATATTTTATTGGTTTTTTTTCTGTGTGTTAAGTTATTCCTCGCTCTTAAGTTCGCAGTGAGCTATGTGAAGAGGTAGAGGGGGGTATTGTAGCAAAATATTGAGGAGCAAACAGAAAGCAAGCTAAGAATGTTATTTGTTCAGAACCTGAAAATCCTGGTTCTTGCCTGTCAGCAGCATTTTTGCTTTTATTTTGTAATATGAACAAAAATTGCAGCTACAAGATATTATTTCTAACGTTCTTGAAATTAGTTTTGAGCTGCTCTAGAGGTAATGGCATCTTTTATCTTTTTAGAGGCACAGAAATGAGATTAGCAGCACGGTTAAGAAGGTACAGCCTTGTCCAGTACGATCATCCTGTTCCTAGCCTCGCTGCGGAGAACAAGGAGTAATGCTAGTCATAGTGTATTTACTTGGATTAAAAACTCAGCACATTCAATAAATAACAAGAAGGGTAGACAGTCATCTTCTGTAATTTAAAAATGACATAATACATGTCATCCTGAAAGTTGGTAGGACCTAATAGTTTAAGACTATTTTGCTTTAACCCCGTCATTGCAGTAGTAGAAGCTGCTGGTGGGGATGAATTTTTGTGCTTTGCTACTTTGCGTTATGAGTTTTCAGTTTTAGATTGCTTCTGAAGAGGAAGATGTAATTGTGAAATGATGCTTCAAGGAGTTTTCCAGATTCTTCTCTTCTCTTATTCAGATTATTACTTTTGCTGTCGCAAATGTGAGCAGTACTTGAGCTCATTTCTCAGTTACGCTTTGGTCTCCGATATTTTTACTGCTTGTGACTGCTGGTGTTTTGGCCTGAAAGGTCTGAGAATGCCTAACCAACTGAATGCACCTCAATGATTTCAACTCTCAGGTCACGTAAAATTCCTATGTAGCGTGTATGTACCTAGGGAAGTCTATATCTTAATTATTTATATTTATATTCATATATATTTGTATTGAAATTCAGGAGTGTGTATTATAGTCTATAAGGAACTTTTCCCTCCTGTAAGCAATCTCTTTTGCCCAGAGCACTCTTTCTTCATCATGATTTCCAGTTGGAGATGTATGATGCTGAGTGTGTCTGTAGAGCCTTAAAGTGTTCTGCATGCAATATAGCTCACCTGCTGGAAGAGGACTGTAAGACCCTGTCGCTAAACTTCCCTGCAGGCTTGAGATGAGTCTGCTCTGTTACAGCTGTTGCAGAACCTCCCTGGGCAGACAGATGGAAACTCTTTCTTTCCCATCCCTGCTGCTAAGAAGCTGAAGTCCTGTTGCAGAAGAGAGGATTATAGTACTCTTTCTTGCTATTTAGATATCCCACCAAAAATACCATTTTTTGCATTGAATTGTGTCTCATTTGGTGAGAGATGGGTCATTCTGTAAGCCTGTCTCTTCACCAAAGATGAACATGTTCCAAACTGGAGCATACGTGTCTGTGTGCTCAGGCGAAAATAAAGGTTCAGTGTTGAGACTGTCACAAGGATTTTTCACGCTTATTTTGCCTGATGAAAATAATTCAGGTTTTTTGACAAAGGTTGAGCTCCGATCGGGAGATCTGTAATGACACTATGTAGAATGTAATGCTAAGAAGACATACCAATTTTTGTGCTTTAAAATCCCAGTATGTAGATATAGTGCAAGAGGTAATTCTTAAGTTGCAATTATTTCCTAAGTTCTTAATGTTTTCTGAGAAGATTTCTGACAAAGGTTGTTTAACTAGAAGTTGCACTGTATAATATATGTGTCTTTTTTTCCAGTTTATTGAGAGAACATTCAATTGATGGCACTGGCTGGGCTCCAACTAGAACATTAAAGGTACTGTTTCCTATTAGATATGTACGTCGAACTAGATACCTTTTAAAATACTTTTATGGACTTGGAAAGAGACAGATAATGTGGTTTGCTCTAGGAATAACCGAGTTTCTTGTCTTTCAACAAGTGTTGGTGGCAGTACTGAAACCACTGCAGTGCTAACTGATTCTAGAAATGTTTGCTAGTTTTAGCATAGCTGCACAAATTACTGCTTGCTAAGACTGGTCTGCTTTTTTTCTCCCAGGCAACAGATATATGAGCATGATGTGAGCAAAACAGTGATCCATAACCCTTGTAATTTCCATTGTATTGACATTCCTGATAAATCAGTAATCTGACCCCTTCTCCAAGTTCCTCTGAGTAGAGGAACTTGGAAAAGTGAAAGGCAAGTTGCATTTGGGAGAAAAGCCGTGTGGAACAGAATCAGATCGTCTTGAATTCTCTTTCAGCCCTGGTGTTCAAAGCGGGGAGCAGCGCGTCTGCACTTGGGTGTTGCATGAAGAGGGGCACTCTGGGCTGATTTAATCACTCCAGTAGGGAACTAACTGCATCTTCCCTTTAACGTTGCCTCAAGTGTAATTTTACATGAGTCACTAAAATATAAGTGAAATCTGGCCCCTGTAAAATCCTGGTAGTTTTTCCACTGTGATTGCAGAATGACTTCAGAAGTTGTTCCCACCACAGCTGGGCAGTGTTAATAAATTCAGAGTCATAGTTCCTGTATGAAATACTCTTAGGGAGATTGTCATGACGGATGTGCACTTCAGTGCAGTGACTGCTGTTGTCTTGCTATGGGGAGCGGTCGGTTGTCCATTTACTGTTACATGACCTTGCTGTCCAAAGAGTCTTGCAGAGCACTGAGCAGTGATACCGCTTTTGCTTTTACCAGGAACCCTGCCAGAACTGGTTCTTAAAGAGTATGAGCTACCTTAGGCAGATAAAGGGTACATATCAGGTGTTTATTTCTTTCCAAAAGGCAAGCTGAAAACAAGTTTTATCTAATACTTGACATCCTTTCTGGAGCTATGAATGATACCTGTTACTTTCTTCATTTGGAAAATCTCTTCATGAGCATCTGGCTTGCTGGAAAGTGAAGTAGAAATCAGTATGTGTCTCGTGGGTTTTCTTAAATACCCCTTCCTTTTTTTCATCTGTTTGATTTTTGTGTTGCCCCTGTGTTTCTGTTTTCATATTAGGTTAAATCCAGACACCGACTGGGTACTTAAATTAACTAATTCTGTTCCTGTCCCTGTGTTTCATTCCCAGGGAAAGTTTTTAGGCCACAGGTGCTTAAGCTTCAGCCATTAGAAAATTAGTACATCAATATTGCTACTGGACAAGAATGTACATATATTTTTGTCTGCTCTCTTAGCTTTGTTCATGGTACCTTTCTTATGGAGATTAAAATACTGCTGCATGTTGAGACTGTGGGTGGAAATAACTGTTGACATTATACGTACTTCCTGTCCTCAGTGATGATGGAAGAGTCTATTAATCTTCTTTTCCATTTTATTCTTGCATTGGTTTGCTAATTGCATGTGATTAATTTCATAGATTAAATATTGTAAAATCTCAACTACCAGGAGACTCAAATTCCTGAATGTTATGCAGCATTTGAAGGTGTTTTTACCTTCCATAAGTTGAAGAAAACAAAACCTCCACAGCCCCAAATAAAAAAAAAAAAAAA